TGCTCTTCAATTAATTGATAATTATAATTACTGTCGTACACATTATATGGTACTACAATATCACGATAAACGAAAATTGTACATAACAAAGTGAAATAGAGAGAATGAGAATTTATTGTTTGCCTGTTAAGATTATATGAAAGCAACTTTGAAAACTGAATTTATTTATTTAGAGATCAGATTACTGTAAAGTGCCAAGTGTCAGCGATAATAACGTAAAGTGAAAATGTGAAAGTAGATACGCGAAGTAGAGTAGAACGAGCGTGGGTTCTACTAGGACGGTGTTGAATTACAGAAATATATGGATTTAAATGACCATCTCCACTGACTACAGCAGGTAACAAGCACAGGCGAGATATCTACAGTGATGCGAATCAATATGGAAATACTTTATGACTTTCTTGAATTTTCCATAGTAAAAGCTGTTAAAATTTCAATAAAAGACATCCACTGAATGGATCAAGTCGAATCACTGAATTCATGTACTGTACGCACGTTAATCAAAAGGTGCTAACAAGAAATTGAAATTTTTTATAATTATAATGAATAATAATCCTTTATAGATGGGCTCATTTGTGAACAAGATCCTGTGTATCATTCTTAAGTAAGTAATGTTATTTTGATAGCGTAACAGTGACGTGTAAATATAGATTTACGAAAAAATTAAGCTATTAATAAGCACAATAATAAGCGAAGTAGGTTCGTAGTAGCTTTTAAATACATTGCGCTACTAACAATAGATAAAAATCTGTAGAAATCTGTAACAGTTGCTATAAGTATTATAAAGTTAACCTATCGGAGCTGAAGTATCAGTTTATTTATGACTTCCATTACATATGAATATCTTACTACTGGATACTCGTCGGCAGTTATTCCTAAACTACATTATTCATTGATTCAGAATACTGTATAGGGTATAAGAGTCTAATTGTATTCACTTTTATGATTTTTAATACCTACAAATCAATACGTTAATTATTTTTTTGGATATAGATTTAGCCTTTTCCAAAGGTATTAATAAAATTACAAATCCCGCTATAAGTAATATTGTACCGAATATTTTCAATACTGAAAATGATTCTTTGAGGACGATCGCGTCAATAACTGCATTAATTGGTATTCCGAAGAGAGAGCCAAGCGAAACAAACACTGGATAAGTAACGGCGACTCCAATAACTATACAACAGCTATATAGCACATTTAATATATTTGTAATCATTAGAGGCTCCCAAGGAATTTGAGACCAGACAAGATTTTCAATTCCCGTATAATGAAATATGATGACGGATATCCATCCCAACAACAAGTTAATAATACCAATAATCGTCAACAGCATTGCCCCTTGAACTGATGATGCATCACCGATAAAAAATTTTTCGTAGACCTAACAAATATTATATATCTTTTATTACATTATACTTTAAAAAAATAAATAAAACATCTACAAATATTGATAAATAACTAAATTAGAATTATCAATACTCACGCGGAAACAAGCTGCGCTGAAAGCAAACATTGTTGATAAAATAACACCAAGAGCTGCGAAAGAACCAAAGCCATCATCATACGCAAAGAGTATAATACCTCCTGTAGACAAGCATACTGCTAATGCCTGACAAAATTGATAATTTTTTAAAATGTTATTCTTATTTTATGGATAAAGCATTATTATTCTAATTAAGAGTTATGTATTATATTTCTGTCTCTATTTATGCTTATTGCTGTCATGGTTTATGAGTAATGATTATGATATATTTACCCTAAGCAATATTAACGGCTCTTTCAAAAATATAATAGATAAAATATAGACCATAGCAAGTACCGACGAAAAAACTGCTGTAACATTCGTTGGGGTAGTAAAATTTAGAGGATAAAAATTTAATGTAATAACTATATTTAGGAGTATTGCTAAAGGTAGGAAGCGTAACCAAAAAGTCTTCTTGATATCTTTACGTGGATAAATTTTAATTGATTCTCTAGATAATATCAAAACATCAAAAGTGATGTAAGCCTTGTTGCTGTCGCTTAAGTAATTATAAAGGTTAGCTGATTGTCGCTTGTCAGTAAAAATTGTATCTACAAGATATAAACTGAAGGTATTCCTACGTCTGTAATATGTTTATCTAACTAGTTTAGTTAATCAATAGGCGTTTAGTGATTTCAATAATGGATTAATATATAGCGTATAAAATATTGCCGTGGATACCTATAGATTTGGCCAAAGTTTTCACCCTTGAAAATCATTAAAAGTATGGCGTAGAGTGGGAAAACAAGTGAATTAGTTGAAGTTGCAATCCTAAAATTTGGATTAATTACCGTAACTTACATTAGTGTCATTAATTCAATAAAGTTATAAAATTTCAATGCTCAATCTAATCTATCAAATACATGACAAGTTTGTATATCGATATCTTTATCATTATTTTATAGCTAAAAAAATATTATGTTAGGGAATAAATATAATGGTGTAGTAAGCTGGAGAGAATATTATTATTATTATTTAATACCGTACTGTACGTATATTGTATCATCTTATTGCAGTAACATGTAATGCTAGTACAATATGTTAAAATTATACGCTTTACTACCGTACCAAGTAAATAACGTTATGGAAGTGAAATTACTCTCGCTTGAGACTGTAAGCTGTCCAAACTGGTTAATAAGACTGAAACTGATAGCTGTTCCAAGAATAATAATAATTCCATAGATTGTTTTACGAGTGGTTAATTCAGAAAACGTTGATTTCCCTTCCTCGTTGTCATCTTATAGTTGAATTTTAAATAAAGCATAGCTTACGGTTAGTTAAATAATTAATAGAGTATTTCACTTTATAATAAAGAATCGAAAAATATCGTGGTAGTGTTAATTTCTAGATTTAAAATTTTATATGTATATCGTACTCGCTCTATACAATAGTCAGTAATAAAGCATGAAATATTCCTACCTGTAGAGACTTTATTCAAGGATTCTATAGCCATCTCATAGCTATTTATAGAACAATTATCCATTTTCAGTTAGTGTTTGTTACGATTTCTTTCCAATCTAAGAAAGATTGGTTATGTATATTAATTATTGATTACATTATCTGTCTGTTTTATCTCTAATTTAAATATTTGTTAACATTACTGCGAATTATCGTGATTATGAAGTAAAATACAATTGGTAGTCTTAGTTAAAGGTACTTATACGTAAGGATAAGTGAATATATCATGTGCATCTACAATGTACACATATCCATGCATATATCGAATAGAACGATCTATCATATTTAACGGTGGTATATGTTAATTATATCTAGTTCGAAACATTCTGTATACGTAAGCTAACCACCGATAGAGATATAAAGACTTATACATTCTGCTGTATAATTCAGCTAAAGCATTGGTTATAATCCTTAACGCTGTGCATGCTAGGGTACCGTACCGAATCAGCAGTATATGTACAAAGCAATTACTGGCTACCAATAAATCTGTTAACGTTAGGCTTAAGAATTGAGCATTCCGTATTAGGTCTAACGAGAACAAGATCGATTTAACTTAAAGCTGTAGAATATGGATAATTATGCGCTTAGTAGCTGGAGAAAGTTGAGTAGAAATAGAATTTGCTTTACTTAATAAAATAGAAATGTAAAGTATATCTGTACCAGTACAAGTATCTGTCTACATTTATATTTTATTAAATAGTGAAAGCAACTTATAATTCTACTCGATTAACTCAATACACAGGAATATACGAGTAATATTCATTCAAACCGCTACGCGTTGCAATAACGATACATACAGAGTGGTCCAGTTGGGGAATAATTCCTACATCAGGTGAACATACAGATATAAGTGTGTAATGTAACTTAGTATTGTGATTGTAGACTGTTAGCCATGTTTAGTATAGTCTAGGGTAGATATTTATCCTAAGAGATATTTGGTAGCCATAACTATAGACTGTAGTGGTATAGACTCTATGCTAGAGTACAGATGACTATATACAGTAAGGTGTTGAGTTACTAATAAGGTTATAGGTAAAAATAGAACTGTAAATCATATATTCGGATATGGTTAATTCATTGTACTTTGGCTGGTGTGAATAATGTCTACGTAAATACTGAAGTCGTATCCATATCGGATTAATGATGGTCCGCAGTAGAGTAGAGTTACTAAGAATAATTTAACTACAGTATGTGTAAAATCAGGTAAAAGGTTGCCGTGCAGATTGTAGCTGCGAATGCTACGAAAAGTATAAAAGCATGCAACTTTCGATTATTCTGTTAGTTCGTTCTAGAAGTCTTTAGTAGTAGCATTCGGCTAGGGTAGAGCTGTGTGTAGTTAATCTTTGTATAAGATTCAATAAAGCACTTATTTTTCTAAAATTTGGAATTTCGTGATTGGGTATATATCACAAAGTGCAAAACGTTCAAATTTTCAAGACAATGTCAATCTAAAGTTATTTCTTACCATGTATCATCAGTTGGAATACTAATCATGAATTATTTCGTTGAAATACGTGCTCTGTAGTTTGCGTTGTACCTTTTCAGAATGAGTGTAGCAGCTGCTACCTTGCTGCACTTATTTTTGTATGACCCTGTCCATGATAGCAGTAAACGTTGTCTCCTTTTCTAAAAGTAGTAGTACAGTACTACTACACTTAGACTAAAACGTTCATGTACACTTTACTAATATACTGCGATTTTAATTTCATTTTAATTAAAGCCACAAACGTCTTTAAGAAACCTCAATCCCCAAGAGGATCCGAAAGCTCTAAGGTTTCCTCTGCCAAAAATAACACTGTACTGTACTGTACTGTACTGTACAGTAGATACCTCGCTCGTATACAGTACGTACTGTACTTGTGAGTTAATTTGACTGCGCAGTAGTGTATTGTATACTGTAGTAATATACTGTACAAGTGTACAGTACTGTACTGTAAGGAGTCTCACCTGTTGTTTAATACGCATGAGCGGTTACTAGCCGAACCGCAGTGGCGCGTATTATAATAGTGAGAACAAGATGGATGCAGCAGACTTGCGAGAGGTCAACTTGCGTAAAGCTCTTAATTTAGCAGTAGAAGATGCCACCAAGAAAGCGCAGTAAGTGGAAATTGAATTGTGTATGATTGTAAATGATAGACAGGTAAATCGTTGGAATGACAATAACAAGTGGTTCTAGTGATAATAAAATATGGAACTTAGTCGATTTCATCACCACAAATTGAGTTTGTAGTAAAGAGTACAATTTGTTGAAGGCTAGAATGTATTCAAACTCGACATAATTCCTTGTTAATGGATTGATCAGGGCTAAATGTGTCAAGTTATATCGGCGTCAATCTAAGCATAATGCTTCCAATCCAAAACCTGAAGTTGCGTTAGAAATTATACAACAATGCCTAGAAAAACTGAAAAAGTCTATGGAGGTTTGTATAATATGTACGTTATCTTGTTTTCCGATCAAGTCTTCTTGATGAAAGTCTTACAGTACTGTATACTGCTTTAAATGAGTCTATCGTATAACTTATAGCGAATAAAGTCAATCTGTTTCTAATTTGAAAGGAGTCTAAGTATTTACATTACATAGGTACGTTGGTGTAGGATGATTGTGAATACTAGACACTATTATATATACAGCCTGTTAGCCTGTCAAGTTGTAAGCAATAAACATCTGTATTCCAATATTGACAATTGTTAGGACGAGTTTCAAGTTATGTTAGAGGAAGAGGAAATTCCGTTAGCTTTAAAAGAATTGGTTAGAGTACAGAATCAATTTTATCAGCATTTTCCTGATCGTAAAGGTGTAAAAGCTTGGTAAGCCTTCTGTTAACTCAATTAAAATTGACTTGAAGGGAAAAACTTTCTTTCATTAAACATTCTATACAGTCATATTCATGAAGATATGAGACTAAATATCGTATTTGTAAATAATCCTGTTACTTTATGTACTGAAGGCGTCCTACTAATCATTCTTTAACGGATGGACGCAGCGAAAGAATGAAAGAGAAGTTCTACTACCTCAATCAATGCAAGGATGATTTAGTGAAGGTTTGTAATACAATCATCATTCAATCAGTATATAATAACGGTAGAATGGTGTGTGTAGTTATTCGTTCGTTTTATAATTAATATTTTTGGCATTATAGATCAAGCAAGAAGTGGCAGATGCTGCAGAAATATTAAAACAACGACGCCAGATTATTGACGATCATTTCTCATGCTAGTATCTGACGCGAAGCTAGGTATATGTTGCAAAAATTTTGTTTTCACTAAGATACGATATGTGCATATTGGCATCAACGATTATAATAATTGTTATGAATACTATTTGCATAACAACTTTTTATTTGCAATTAGATACGTCTGCCGTTGCTCGAGAAGATAAAAAGAGAGAAAAATAAAACAGAATTGACGATATCAATAATTACGCATCAGATGCTTTATTATTTTTCACTGCATCAATTGTATATTCTAACATTGAAAAAATTTTAAGATTTTATTGTGTACCATGTTGTCCTAATACGAAGATGATAAGACATCTTCATTTTCTAAATTGTAAGTTGTTTTTTAGAGTGCCTTATTCTATATTTAAGCTTCTGCACATCTACTGCAGTTTTTAATCGAATACAATAAGCTGCTAATAATTCATTTACGCCTTGTCCAGTTATTATTATCATTGCCAAGATACGTTAGATTAATAGTGATACGTAATATATATAAACACGTAATGTATGATATATAGAATATTACTGCTTAAAAAAATTGAAGACATCCTTTTCGTCGTAATATATTTATGTCTGTCGTTGCAGAATACGTAATTAGTATACTCGATATCGCACAAATTGTAGTGATATTTTTTGGGAATAATGTACAGGAATATATAGTATATAACTCGTTTAACATTTTTTATCAAAATCAAATTTGTGATACTGAGTGCAATACTGCTAGTAGATCTAGCATATTATTAAAAATCATACAATATTAACAACTTAATAACGCCTTTTAGGAAAGATGCGAATGAAAACAATCATAGATATGAATATAAAGCATACAAAAGCCAGCATAATCCATAACCACCATGCGCACGGCTTTTTTACATGCTTTGAAAGTCTGTCAGATTCTACCTTTAATCTTTCGTAATTGGAATCAGCAGTTTTATTTATTGATTGAAGATTCTGGCATCGCCGAGAAAAAAAGAAAGCAGCATCTTTACCTTCATTCTAACAGACTCCATTCCAGGAATTGATACCAAAACATTCTAGTAGTATAGTTACTGTAAAGCAGTTATCTGCAGTGATTGAATGCATTTATTATTACCTTATTATCTTCTTGAATTATAGCACGCGTTAGTAAACTAGTTTGCTTTAAGCTCTTGGCCATACCAGCCATTTCTTCAGTTATCTTTTCATGATTGGCGCGGTGGTATTTTAATAAGGCATCGTCATCAACATTATCGTCGGTAGAGTTTTCATCACCCAGTAACCTGTTATCATTGTTTAGGAGGTCGTTAATATCCGTGTGATGGCGTAGAGAGGCTACATAGTGTCACACTTAATAAAAGAAATTCGCTTTCTACCGACTTGTTCTATACGTGTAACGTATTTATGAAATTAATCATACCTCTTTCTTAATGACGCTTCTTCTTGGCCTTTCAGTGATAACATTTTTTACCAAATACAATATAGAGTTAAATTAGTCATCAAACTTACATGAGTAGATGACTGTTATAGATATCTATTCTTGGTACTTACCTGGTAATGGATTTTTTTTCTTGATGTCCTATGACCAAAAATCAAACAGCATTAAAATGATATCATTTATAGTGCGTTTATATCAAGGTATACTATTGTATCATACTTTGGAAAATAACTCCTCCTTCATATCTTTATGATATTTAGATCTTGCAAGATAGTGTAAATTCTTTCCATTTTCGTCAGGATGACTATCACCGTTAAGTAGATATCGGGCTGTTGTAGTCGGTTGTTCGATTTCACTTGTTCTTTTTCGTGACTATCAAGACAGCATTATGGTAAAAATTAAATGATGATATAAGAGAATAAACTGTAGCGAAATATCACCAATATCGGTATCATATCTAATATGCTTCTGTATCTTATGTGCAAGTTTAACACGTGTATTCATAATTATATAATCGGAGCTGGTATGCTGTCAAAATAACTACAGTCATTGAAAGTTGGAACTGGTATCGCATGTACACATACAACATACCATATGATACTATTACAAGTACCTTTTCATTTTCAACATAACACTTCAAGAAATTCATTCTCTTAGTATAATCAGTGATACTTTGAGGTCCGGAGTAGCTATGTGGAATTATTGATAACTTTATTAGGGTAGACGTAAACAGTATCGATCGATAGGATTGAGTCATTCATTGATTAAAGTAGCAATGTAATTTTATAACTATGACGGAACTATTGTTTAGCCTACAGCATATTAGCTAATAGCAATGACTATCGAATTGTGGTAGCTATACAGTAATTATTCTCGTAAGATATTACGCAGTTACTGTTTACGTCAGCACAGCTTACAAGAGTCTGCTACAGTATCTATGGTTTTTTGTGGATGATCACTTTAGTACGATAGAGTTGAACTCGTTTAGCATATTGCCTAATAAGAACGAGATCATCTACGTGTATACTTGTACTCACTATACAGTACTACAGTATCGTCATGTTGGCATCGTTAACATAATCCATTGATCAACGAAAAGAATTTCAACTTACCTGCCGGATTTTTCTAATTCAAGATACTTGTTATACAACGTATCGATAAACTGCAACATGACAAAGTACAATCAAAGGGTCAATTACACTTAGTTGAGATTGATGGTATTCATTTCCTTTATAGCAGGTACTATGTACAACAGCATTGTATTTGATAGTCGACTACAGCACAAAATTATTTCAAATATCTTGACCGACGAATAAATGAAGAATACCAACAATACCATGATACTGTTATTTGAATAACGACAAGTCCACGTCTATCGACTGTCGACATTGATCTATTTACCCTTTCTAGTCTCCAGTCAATTGGCTTATCCGTTCTTGTAATTTCTGATGCCATTGCTTCACAACGTGATAGCAAACGCTGAAAATCAATTTCTATTCTAGTCATGGTAACCATGATTGGATTATTGAACTCGTTTCTACTTTCAGGATTTCCTAGTTTTAGCTTGTTGCACAGTCTGTATCAATTTCAAAAATAGAGATGATCCTTCGGTGGATTTCTTCCTACGATAAGATAATAGCACTTAGTCTGAGTAGCGCCGTATCACCGACACAGTCTATCCACGACTTCGATTCCTTTATGGAATGCAATTAATGCCTTTACTTCTATTTATTTATTAATAGAAATGTGTTTGCTGCAGTTAGTCCCCAACATTTAGCCAAAGGACAAGATTGGGTTGAGTTTGATCATCCAGGTGTACAGTGTACAGTACATATGAGCGTTCAGTACTGTACACTGTACAGTACTGACATGCTCACTGTGGAATTAATGCACGCAGTACAGTACAGTACTGGAAATACTGTACACTGTACAGTACACTGTACAGAACTGACATGCTCACTGTGGAATTAGTGCACACAGTACAGTACTGTACAATACTGGAAATACTGTACACTGTACACTGTACAGTACTGTACCGTATAGGAACCCTGAAAACTGAGCTGGAACATGAACTGGAACCCTGAAAAGTAGACTTTTGTATAGAAACTACAGTATCGCTTTGTGGGCTAGAGTGAAATGGAAGGCACTGGTCTAGTAGCGCTTGTAGCTAAACCTGTCTTGTACAATTGTACTACAATATTTGAGCCAGCATTGCCATTGGCAAGGACAACAACTGGAAGAAGGAAGAAGCCTTGGATTAATCAAAGACCGATGGCTTTCACTTTATACGCCTTGTTAGAAGCGGCTCTGCTATGTATTAATGCCATTGCTATCTTGAATGAAGAACGATTTTTAGCCAAAGGTATCGTACCGTTATTCTATGCACAGTGCAGTATTGTGACGAGAGTAGAATTCACTTTCCAACTACTGTAAAGAACTGTCAATCCAAAGTCTTCCTCCTTACTCATCAGTTGAACATAAGTAGAGTGGATATAACTTGATAGAAGTTGGATAGTATTTCAATTGAAAACGATGCAATAAGATGGATGATACAATGTTGAAAGTGCTCTAAATATCCTACATACAAGCAGACTACAAACTTCAGATATCATACTGTAGACGAATTGACCGAATCGTTTTAGTCTACAATACAAATACTTGCCAAGACTTCTACTTTAGTTCTATATAAGTAGACTTAAATGAACTGTAAGGTAAAGTATTTCATTGATGATGGAGTCGATAATTGAACGATAATCTTGATGAATACGGTACATCTATCATCATACAAAGAATACTATACTGTAAATGATGCTTTGTGTATTGGACAATTCAATATCCTAAACTGTCAGTAGACAGTACGTAGTACTCGTTGATTCAATTATACATCATGCCAATAGATGAACATTGGATTGCCTTACAAAGTAATTGCTGGCAAATAGATGATGAAGAACAATGATGATATAACTGTCTAACTAGAATGATCTATCATTTCAGTCGGTTGGTCCTCATCTCAACCTCAAGGATATGGCGAAGAAGAAGGGGTCAAGAGTAAACTTATGAACGTTATTAAATCAGTGCAAACATTACTAAGAAGTGAGTACAAAGAATAATGCAGTTAGCGTTTTGAATAATTTAGTGACAAATAGTGTAATTTATTACCCAGATGGTGTTAATTGAAACATACAGTACAGTAGTATACTTTTACCCGTATATACCATAAATAGGAGTAGAGACGCAGGATTAAAATGTAAAAATAGACTAAATACGATCAATCTTGTAGCCACTACAGTGTTAATACTTAACATGGTTAACGACTGTGAAAAGATGGTTGATCTTACTTTGTATAATGTAGCAAAGTTGGAATTGGCAAACTACACCAATTCTTATTCCTGTTTTTTTCTTAAAAAAGTTCCCCTTATAGGTCTCAACATTGTCACAATACTTCTCCTATTACTATTCGGATAAATGGACTATTATGGATATCAATTTGACTCTCACGTGAAGTATTGTTGTCCTGCTGTTGGATGTGCATGCACTGGATTAGAGTGAAAATGACGATCAATATATACCACGATGTTTTATTCAATGCTATTAGTTTATGTTTTTAAGATAAAATTTGTGTATTCATACTCACCAGATAAAAAATTATGAAAAATAACTTACAAAATTGCAATTAATTCTTATCTTCTTTCATGCCATAACTTTGTATATTATGGTAGATCATTGTATAGAACATATTTTGAAATACATTCATTACCTTTAAAAGCCTATACAGTATATATGTTAATAGGTTATATACAATATTGCTACATTAGTACTGTATCATATATTGAGTAGCACTTGAACGATGAGTGATATGCTAATAATATTATTTTTGTTACTTATTGGGGTGATTGATTTGGAATGTTCACGACAACTCTTTATTCGTACACGCACATCTTAATCCTCTATGATGACGACTTTACCGTAAAAACTACAGATGTGTATGCATGTTTGTGTATAGTCTGCGTCTATAGAATTAATAGCGATGACATAAATTATTGGTATGGAAATGAAGGATTATGAAATTTTAGTCAACTAGACGCTAAAATTGCAGTATCCGAGCGTATGCTAGTCTATTGACTTAAAAAGATTTATGTTATGAAACATAACCAGTGCAATGTAGCGTAATGTATGAGATAATTAATAAAAATGTTTAGTGTGTGATCATGCTATGCAATCTTCAAACGTATTCTTGTAAAAATGACATAAATTATTAGTATAGACATGAAAGATTACATAATGCTGATTAATTATACATTATAATTAAACTAAAAGTATATACATCATTAATCTGTTTATGTAGAAGTCCTCATGTTACGATTTGAGCTGCCTAGCCTTATTACATGCAATATTGATATCGATAAAATAGAGTTAATTTAGATCATATGGTATAATCAATCACTTGTATTACACTGTACGTGTATGTTTAAGATGATTACATACGCGTATATATATACGAGTATTATTATGCTTCGGCCGCCTAGACTAAAATATGTATACGAGTATAGTTGTATGTCGCGGAGGTCTCTCAAAAATACTAAGCGTAGGTATAGCCATAACAATAAGAAAAGACTAATACAAACATGAATAATGTTACAATAGATAGATAGCATATGTAGATATTATATATTTTTAGGGATGGAAAGTTTGAAAGCTTATGGTAAACATGTTTTAACCTTACGATAGAACGATTCCATCCATTTAATTGTGCAAGTTACCGATCAAAGCACAATGGTTTCTATCTGGAATTCTTTTAGTAAATACGGTACTAATCTCAACAAACAGCTCAGAACCTACCACGTCTGCAGCTTAAAGTACAAACCCAAACAACTTTTTAAGACTCATTTAACAGGCTCTAAAAGCCTGTGAAACATTACTTCCTAAAGCACATAGTAACTTTCTTTGTATTTACATGCATTACCTACGAAATCATTCGCTACTGACTTACTGTACAGACGGAACGTTAAATACCTACAAGAGTTCAGTAAATCCAAGTAAACGAATCACCTTTACTTTTTTTTTGCAAAGCGATAGTTGGTAAGATATTTATTTACGCAATAGTCTTAGAATCTGAGTATTAATTGCATGAATTTCATGTAAATCATAGGAGACAGGGCAGTCCGAAGATCAATACGTATATGGTTGTAACCTCAACAAGCTAATAAATTAATTTCATTACTTTGTCAAACGACAATTTTCGATCTTATCAATATTCAGGGTACAAGAGTAGATAGAATAGAATTGTAATAAACGAATTAATCCTTAATTGGCAACTTCTAAGATTGGTACGTTAGCTAAAAATTTGTTTAATATGTGTCAATAATATGATATATGTAGTTATAGAGTGATAGTACTTAGTACTGTTCGAAATTTCATGAGTTAGCAAGTAAAGCAATAGTTTATGCTCTGGCTTTCCAGTTGAAAGATATTATAGCTTTACAATCATTGCCATAAATTCTTCATGATAATAGAGTATAATAAGATTATTAATGAATGCGTTAAAATACAATTGTGCATGTGCAAGAAAATAGCTTAAAAATCAATTTTGAATATAGATTAGTGATTTCTTCGGAAACATTACCAATAAAACCATGATAGCAAGGATAAATTGTCAAACAACTAAATAGCGACGAGAAAGACAATGATGATTTCGACCAAAATAAGAGGGAACGTTGTAATCATCAATTTCGCGAATTAAAGTATAATATCATAACCACTTTTATAGATCGCGATTTGTATACCAACCACCAAATTGCGAATTACTGCAGGGAAGATATCGTGACCTTACCAATTACTAACAATGGCTGCAGTTGACATAATTGAAAGTAACAAACTGTATAATTTCTAAAATGACACAGATATAAAAATAGGATACAATTTTTTCTCTATATTTGCAATACAGAAGTCTTAATAGTTCTTTGACTTGCATCTGAGATTTTATGTTTTCGATAAGCGCTATCAAGTCTTTCTAACAAAGCTGGAAATCGTAATTCTGAAAATTTTCTCAAGATTTCTCTCATCCTTGGAAAGCTAGGTCTGCTTTCCGGCTTATAATTCCAACAATCACTCATTAGCTGATAGATCACTTCAGAACAACCATCAGGACAATCCATTCTATAGCCTTCTTCAATATGTTCCATTACTTCATCTTTCGACTGAGAAAATATAACAAAGTATCAAGGCTAAATTTCTCACATATGATACCCACTTATTTTGAAACGTTGTTACGTACCACTCTCGGATACGGAATACGTCCAAATGAATACAATTCCCATAAAACGATACCAAAACTCCAAACGTCCGATTTTACAGAGAAGAGCTAACATTAAAATATAAATAAAAATTCTTAGCAAACTTCAAATTGTTTTTGTAGCAAATGAATTACCACCTCTTGCGATCTCACAGCCTCTGGTGCAGTCCACTTCACAGCAATTTTTCTAGTGCCAAGTGATGGAGCTGCTTCGTTATTTAATTGAATGGTTAAGCCAAAATCTGAAATCTGGTAATCAAATTAATCAGTCACAATTTTAACCAGAGGGAAAATTCTAATAGTGCTTTTGTCGAAATTATAAAGACACATCGTATCTTTCTATGTAAGCAAGATTATAACTAATATTAACCTTAGCTTTTTCGTTGTCCGATAGTAGAACATTTCTGGCAGCCAAGTCTCTACATATAGCAACAGTAACTGTCTAGGAAAAGTTGTTACTATATAACCAAAATTATTATTACATACTAACCTATGAACGAAATTTTTACTAGAAAGGTAGCACATCCCTTCACAAATATCTCTAAATATAAAAAGTAATCATAATGTCGTATAAGCAACATGAATAATTTTTCAATTACACTGGCACGATAGCTGACTTACAAAGCAAACTTAAGTTGTATTTCCTCATTAATAACGGATCTACCACGGCTGCGAAGATAATCAACGAGTGATCCCTGATCAAAAATAATTATTAGTTACTACTCTATCGTGACATTAGATTCCATGCCGGTAATTCACGGCTAGATATTTTAAATAAAGGCGAATAAATCTACATTACCCTTGGCATAAGTTCAACTATCATATACATGTTGTTATCATCTGCAGCGATACCAATTAACTCAACCAAATTCGGATGATTAAGATGCCTAAATGGTATTTATAAAGGTGTCAACGATTGACTACAGATTTTCGGTACAAATTTTCAACAATCGAAAACTAATTTGATCATTTTAAAATGTAAAAGTAGACGTAATCATTCTTGCAAAGCATTCCTATAAGAATGTATGCCATGCACAAAGTGGCTATTATTTAAAAAACGAATAATACAAATAGATATTATTTCCTTACGTCGATATTGACGCTTCATGAAGTAACAACTCCGTGGCTACGTTAGAAGCATTCATTGATTTAATTGCTACAGGTCTTCCTCTATAAAAACCTTTTTGTACGCCTGAAAATAGTGTTGGGACGAAAGTATTTTAGCCAAAATTATCCAGAGTATTATGTATGTGTAATAATAATATAATTGTAATATCTAGTGTTGTACATATACAATTAGTTTCATACTTCCAAATTCCCCTTTGCCTAAAATTACTGAGTCTTTAACAATTTCTTCCATTGGCAAAAGCCATCCCTCTGAAAAGGTGAACAATTGCATTTAACAGAAGCGATATCGAAAACAATATAACTAAGCTACAAAGATAAAATCAAACCGATGACGTTACCTGCTGCAAAATGCTGTTTATTAATAATAGGCTTCTTTTCACCTCTATAACCACATGCAATTTTTAACGGTGTAACCAAGCCCATATCATTGATCATATAATGCTGATTTTGATGACAACGATTGAAATAACATGAATAATCAATTAATTATTGATCTAAATTAAATCAAATAGCATTATGAATTAAAAATATGCTGAACAATATTAATTATTACAGCGATAAGCTTCTCCAAATCCGTAAAGAAGACTTCATTATCTATTGTCATCATATTAGTTGGGGTATGGACAATGCGATAATGTTGAACTCCGTTTTTACAGCTAATACATAGAATAAGACATCAATACAGAGCAG